TTAAGTTTCTTCTTCTTTTTTTTTTTTTGCTTAAAATAGGAAGAGGTTTATTTATTTATTTATTTAAATGTATTGATTATACATATTTATGAGGTAGAGTTATATTTCAATACATGTATACAATATGTGATGATCAAATCAGGGTAATTAGCATATTCATCATCACAAACATTTATTGTTTCTTTGTGACGAGAACATTTGAGAACATACAATAAATTATTATTAATTATAGGTTAGAAGATACAAAAAATTATTGTTAATTATAGATGAGAACATACAATAAATTATTGTTAATTATAGAGGCCTAGCAATACCACACACCACTAGAGCTTGTTTTTCCTATCTAGCTGTAATTTTGTATCCATTAACTAACCTCTACCTATTCCCTCTTCTCCCTCCCCTTCCCAGCCTTTACTAACCACAATTCTACTCTCTACTCTTAAAAGTTCAACTTTTTTTTTTAGCTCCCACATATGAGAGAGAAAATGCAGTATTTATCTTCCTGTGTCCACCTTATTTCACTTAACATAATGTCTTCCAGGCTCATCCATGTTGCTTGCCACAGATGACAGGACTTCATTCTTTTTAAAGGCTGAGTAGTACTCCGTTGTGTACATATACCACATTTTCATTATCCATTCATCGGTTGATGGACACCTAGCTTGGTTCCATATCTTGGCTATTGTGAATAGTGCTACCGTAAACGTGGGGGTTCAGGTATCTCTTCGATAGCTGATTTCCTTTCCTTTGGATAAATACCCAGCAGTGGGATTGCTGGATCATATGGTAGTTCTATTTGTAGGTTTTTAAGGAACCTCCATATAGTTTTCCATAATGGCTATACTGATTTACATTCCCACCAACAGTATCCCCTTTTCTCTGCATCCTTGCCATTATTTGTTACTTTTTGTCTTTTTGATAATAATCATTCTAATTGGGATGAGATGATATCTCATTGTGGTTTTGATTGGCATTTCCCTGATGATTAGTGACGTTGAGCATTACCTTCACTTACCTGTTAGCCATTTGCATGTCTTTTTTTTTTTTTAAGAAATGTCTGTTCAGGTCATTTGCCCATTTTTTCATTTTTTCTTTTTTCTTTTTTTGCTGTTAAGTTGTTTGAGTTCTTTGTATATTCTGGGTAATAATCTCTTGTCAGATAAATAGTTTGCAAATATTTTCTTCCATTCTGCTGACTGCTTCTTCACTCTGTTGATTGTTTCTTTCGCTGTGCAGAAGCTTTTAGTCTTATGTAATTCCATTTGTCTATTTTTGCTTTTGTTGCCTGTGCTTCAGAAATCTTCTCCATAAAATTTTGCCCAGACCAATGTCTTGGAGTGTTTTCCCTATGTTTTCTTCTAGTTGTTTTAAAGTTTAAATCTTAAATTTAGGTCTTTACTCCATTTTGAGTTGTTTTTGATATATGGTGAGAGGTACTGATCTAGTTTCTTTCTTCTGTATATGGATGTCCAGTTTTCCCAGCACCATTTATCGAAGAGGCTCTACTTTCCCCAGTGTATGTTTTCAGCACCTTTGTCAAAGATCAGCTGTCTGCAGACATGTGGATTTATTTCTAAGTTCTCTACTGTGTTGTATTGGTCCATGTATCTGTTTTTATGCCAGTACCACTGTCTTTATTACTATAGTTTTGTAGTATATTTTGAAGTCAGGTGGTGTAATGCCTCCATCTTTGCTCTTTTTGCTTAGGATCACTTTGGCTATTCAGAGTCCTTTGTGGTTCCAAATGAATTTTAGGATTGTTTTTTTCTATTTCTGTGATGAATGTCATTGGAATTTTATTAGGGATTGCACTAAATTTGTAGATTGCTTTAGGTAGTATGGTCATTTTGACAATGCTAATTCTTCTGATCCATGAATATGGGATGTCTCTTCATCTTTTTGTGTCTTCTGTAATTTCTTTCATCAATGTTTTGCAGTTTTCATTGTA